TACGGATGGGGTGGGGGGAGGGTGATGACAGAGAATTCGGACGACGCCCAACTTTCATTCACTTCGATTCCTCATTATGAACACTGCAAGATAAAAAAGTGGGACGCCTCGCTTTGCCGCGGGAGCTGAGGGGAGACAACGAGAGACTTAAGTCTCACCAAACACCACTTGTGGCACGATGTGTTGAAATCAGGCGCTCGTCAATTTATAAGGATATAGAATTATTAGAATCATCTTAAAGCTTGTTTATTTGTCTTGCTTTAGATGAAAAAATACCAATCTGTCCAGAATAGAAGTCGAAATATTTGCCTTGCTTTTGATTTTTAAAAATACCCATCTATCCAGAATAGAAGTCGAGATATTTGCAAATGAAGGACGTGAGGGTCGCCTGATGTCAGATGTAAAATTAGCGAGAAAATAGCCACGAAAGTTTCGTGACTTCCAAAGCTTGAGTGTCCATGAAAACTGCAAATTAACATTTTCTGCGCGTTTCAGCAACGTGAAAGGATGTTGTTTTTCCTGTAAAAACCACAGAGACGTGTTTTAAATGGACGTCAAAGGTGTTAATCCATTTTTCTTGTATATTTGATGAAAATCGCCCAACAAGCAGAAAACATATGTGAGGCAGCGTGGTGGAATCAGGCTCTTGTCAAACACTGAAATCGAAAAAAACAGTTTTCTCCCTGATTTGCAATTTTTATCAAATTTTTATTTTTTGGCTCAACACCTTTTAAGTCCATTTACAAACACATTCCTTTGAGGATTTCACAGAAAACATTGATTACAGGCAAAAAAATATAAATTTACAGTTTCCATGGACTCTCTAGCTTTGGAATTTACCAAGCTTTGGTGGCCATTTTCTCGCTAATTTTACTTCTTAAATCAGGTGACCCCCACCTCCTTCAATCCAAAATATCTCCACTTCTATTAAAGATGGATGGGTAATTTTTTCATTGAAAGCAAGACAAATGAGCAAGCTTTAAGATGATACCAATAACTCAATATGTCCAAAAGTTGACGAGAGCCTGATTCCATCACGCTGCCTCACATATTGTTTGTTTTAGTAATCGTTATACGGCACTTGCAACACAATAAGGTAATATAAGTGCCAAAGATTAGAGGTGTTAAAAGAGAGTAACAAACACAAAAGAGAAAGAGGGGACGGAGATTTTTAAAATGATAGATGTTTGATAGAAAAGAAGAAGCAAACCACATCAGAGCACCCGCCAAAGTTTCTTTCATTTCATTATTTTTTGAGGAGCGCCTGATTTCACCACGACGCCTCCCACTTCGCCCGCGTCTTGTCCTCCTCAGCCTGGACAGTCATGGTGCCGGCCAAGTGTCGGGGGCAGAGACTCGAGCAGTCACAGAAAGGTTGTGATGGAGGGGGAGAAAATCTCTGCCAGCCTCTTGACATTGGACACGATCGAGACAACTGAGGACTGCTTGGTTTATAGCGACTTTATAGCGACAACCAAG